TAATTAGTATATTAATAGATGATGTGACATAATTTTAAAAATTTTAAATATTTATAATTTATATAATAAGTAGGATCAATAATAATAATAAAATACTAATTAATACATTAATATATACATTAATTAATACACGTAACCCCACCGATAAATAAATTAACTAGTAATCTCCAAATATCAAAGTAAACCGTATGCAAGTTACACATCAAGTCCGCAACCCATAAATGCTAGTGTTTATTTTAAATTTCAGAATGTAAATATTTAATTTTAAAAAAAAATTTAAAAAGGTCATAAAAGAAAAAATATAAACAATAAAAAAATACTTAAAAACTTATATCGAAACATCACCTATAAAATTGAAGGAAAAATTAGTTAAAATTTGTCAAAATAGCCTGTAACCATTGGAATATTATTTTTATAATTTGACAATTTACTATTATATAGATTTTCAAATTATAGTTTTGACCATACTATTATAACATTTGCCAATTGGAGATGGTCTAAGAGTATCTCCAACGTTTACTCAATTTTTTTTTATTAATTTTGAATAAAAATTTAAGTGAAAGTTTCATTTGATATCGTGTGTTCCAATGAAGTAATTTGAGATTTCATCAAACCATCAGTCGATTAGGAGGACGACTGAAGTATGTCCGGCCAGTCGACCGACCAATGTAAATTTTCCAAAATTCTAAAACAAATTTTGCAAGGAAGTGGTCGACCAGGAGACAATCAGCCAAACATCCAGCTAGTCGTCTGATACTCATGCATACTTATAAATATAACGGTTATCTATAGTAATTTGATAAAAGACCCAAACATAATTTGATAAAAAATCTGAAATATTCTGAATTTAATATTAATTTAATGTTAATATTGGAGTATAATTTTGGAATATTTACCAATAAATCCTGTATGACAGACTGTTATACCAATCAGTCCCAACTTTATACTTTCGTTCCGGTAAGTCCTACTAGTGAGGATATTTTTTCCTTTCTGATCCTATTTTCTATGTTTGGCGTTACTGAGGGGACTAGTATACCCTTTTTGTTTGATTGGAAATGTGATTTGTGGGATTATGGTTGTGTACATACGTTAGAGATCAAATTTGGGATTTTGAATGTTATATTTACATATGCTTTAGTCATTTCAGTTTGGGTTTTCTGTCGTCTCATTGTGGGTGGCTGGGACGACTGTGTTGTTGATTGCAAAAATTGCATTTTCGACGTTAAGACGCCATTGTTACGAAAGTATGTCTTACTCTGGTTTTCAGTTACAGCGTAGTTATATATGTATGTCACATTGCACTTCGTCCATATCCCTGTTTTACATCAGTAGGGGGTTTGTATGTATTGTTGGCGGGTGGTTTTGTATAACGTCACAAAATGGGATGGTATGTGCTGCATTGTTTTGGGTTGTGGTGGATTGTGTGTAGTGTATGTCATTTCATTTGTTGTATGGTTTATTGTGGTCCTCATGAAGCACGTGTTGATCTTGTCAGGGGGATGGACATGCCAATAATGTTAATTTGTTGTTATGGGAATATGAATGCCGTAATTAATTTGCAACCTCTGTTTCGGTTTCATGATATGGTCGACCGTGCGTGCGGAAAGTTTGTTGGGTTAACACCTGTTGATGTGTGTTTGTTTTTCAAGATACTAGGCTATAATAATTTCACATTACAAAATGATGTGGATGTGGAAAACATGGTATCTCTTGCACGGTATTTCCGACTGCAATGTATCAATGTCATCATTCAGTTAGACGATTCACCTGATGATAATAATAGTGACAACCCTTTCTCAGATATTTCAAAAGAAGAGATGTATCTGTATTATATTTGTATTAGATATCTACTTTTTGGATATTCACAGATATGTATCAGATACTCTAAATCACATAATACTTCTTTTACAAAATTAAAATTGTAGTATTTCTTGCATAATATTATAATATAATATAAATGAAAGCAAGGATAAATATAAGAATATTTTTCTAATACTTTATTTAGTTATTTGATAAGAAGAATATAGTGAATTAAAGTAATTAAATTTGTCAAATTGATATATTTTTTTCTTTCATGCATGTCCCATATAATTATATAGAAAGTAAGTATTAATAAGAGAATATAATAATAGTGTAATTAAAATTAAATATCAACATATAAATAGCAACTAAACTTGATAACAATATTCTTTACCTGTGCCAAAAGGAAATATGCAGGGACAAGTTGCAAATTATTTATTATTATAATACAAACATATTAGATATTAAAATGAAATATGTGTAAGATCTATTGAAAATTAAGAAGTTAGCAAGCTACTATCGTAAATTAATATCTAATTCTTAAATGTTAATATTTTGCATTATAAAATTACAGTATGATTTTTTAACATTCTTGATTTTATGCATAATTCACTATTAATAATTTTTAAAAAATAATTTATTTATTTTTTTAAAAAACATATCCTAATTGTATTGGTTTCATATTTTTTTAAGTTTTGTTCTATAGTTGTATCCTTATCGTATTATATCTGGTATCCTGCTTCCTAGACACAATGATAAGATTTGAACTAAATATCACACCTGATAAGGGCACAAGGAGAGGGGGATCAGGAGGGGCATTGGCCTGCAAACATTTTAAGAAACACATGTAGTTTTGGTAGTTTTATCTAAGAGTAATGTTATATATAATTATATTTTTTATTTTGGTTTCTCACTCTTGAACACAAAGTAATAGGCCCTAGGCCTTTATAGTCATAAATGCATATAAAATCTGCTTGCTTGCTTGTGTTTCGTAGTGAGAAAAAGAGATGAGGAATAAGATTATAGGTAGCATTTTGCTTCATCTAATGTTGTCTATCACTGAAATTCCTAAGAGTTGAGTTCCTCTCCAATGGTGATTCCACTAGATAAATTTTGTTGTCCAATTTTATAAGATAAATGTGATACGATCATGTAATTATCAATATCCAATTAATTTAATTTTTTAAATAAATTAACTTATCTATAGATCCTATAAATTGAAAGGTTCCAATCAATTAGGTGGTCCTAAACTGAATCGAGGAGCCCAACGCAATAGTACCACTCCAATTAGATCACCAACTAAAAAAAAAGGAAAAATTCTTCAGACAATTTGCCAAAAAATTAGATATAGGAGATAGACTTTAAAGCATTTCAAAAGTGTTCCATTTTTTTTAGATAACTAAAAAAATGTACTAGCCATGGTCAGTCTGTAATGTGAGTTTCAAAATTTATGAGAAAACCTTTTTGGAAAACTCTTTTAGACCAGTCTGTGATCTTTTAAGTTCGGCTTCATTCACGTAATATATCCTATGTTCTTTTTATTTTTTTTTTTATATATATAACAAATTTGGTAATTTGTTTAGGCAGGATTTCCACTAGTTTTACAAGATATGCTGTCGAGTGCAAGTGTTGATCCTGTCTCCCTTCGCTTAGATGAAAAGCTTACACACCTATCTGGTACAGACTCCGAGTGTTATATCTACAAAGTGCATGATCGACTACGTTGGCAAAATGAAAAGTCATATGAACCAGAAATAATGGCTATAGGACCATATCACCATGGTAAAGACAACCTACAATGGATGGAAGAACACAAATTACAGTATCTGCGATTGCTTCTTAAACGAAGAAATGAGACTAGTGTGGATAGATTCATAGTAGCCATGAGAGATTTGCAAGAATGAGCACTTAGATGTTATGCAAACTCTGTATGGCTTAACAAAGACGAGTTTGTGAAAATGATGCTTCTTGACAGCTGCTTTCTCATTGAGTTGTTTCGCAAATTTACCATAACAAGTATGAGAGATAGAAATGACCCACTCTTCAAAATTGATTGGATACTTCCAACATTATGGCGTGACTCATTGTTATTTGAGAATCAACTTCCATTCTTTGTTCTTGTGGAGTTGTTCAATATGACCAAAGTTCTCGACCCTCATGACAATATCACTGATTTAGCCATTCAATACCATCATTGTGTCAGTCAATATGCATCCCTAGGTCCTGTAAAGATTTTATACGCTTATAATGGAATTTCAACTTGTGGTGTGAAACATTTTCTTGGTCTGGTATACCAAATTACATCTTTTTCACTCTCAAAATCAGTACCTCTAACAAGTGTCGTCGGAGACAAGATAAAGAAATGGGAACACATACAATGTGCCACAGAGTTACATGAAATTGGGGTCAAGTTCAAGAAATCTAACTGTGGTACGATCTTTTATAATGTAAAATTTAAAAATGGGGTATTAGAAATCCCGACATTAGTCATACATGAGAAGATAGAATATCTTTTTAGAAATGGAATTGCATACGAGCAACATCATCTCGAGGAGGACATTGGCCTCAAATATACCACTGACTATTTAACTTTCCTATGTTGCCTCATTAACTCGTCACAGGATGTCTCCTTGCTTTGTCGCTATGGAATTCTCCAAAACATGCTAGGTGGTGATGAAGTGGTTGTGTCAATTCTTAACAAGATTTCTACTTGTGTCGTTGCACCTCGTGACAATTTTTATTACTCTCAAGTATTTGACGACGTAAGCAGGTATAGTAAGCAACGTCGGAACATATGGACTGCAATGTTAAGGCATAATTATTTCAACAGCCCATGGGCAGTCATCTCGTTTCTCGGAGCTATTATGTTGCTTCTACTCACTTTGACACAGACAGTGTTTTCCATTCTTGCTTACTTCTGTAATAGAGGTTGTTGAGCCCATGGCAAAACTTTTAAGTGAGATTATTTGAAATCTTGAACTATATTCTTAAGAAAGTTGGAAGAAGGTGTTTGATAGAATTTTCTAAAATTACACAAAATGATGTGGCATAATTATAGATTTAGCATTTAAAAGTAAAAAAGAAGAAGGCATTGACTATTCTTTATATTTCTTCGTACTTCATTTTTTGGGTCTCACACTGGACCCAAAAGATTATTGGAATTCGTTTATCTCATAAACCATGTAGTGAACACCGTAAGAGGTGGAAACTTAAAGTATGAAATTCAAATCTCCTACCCAAACTTTGAAGGCTAGAATTGGTACGAAGAGTTCAAACCACGAAAATCTAGAGACAAATTTTGGGACTCAAAATGATTCAGAACCATGAATCCCAATATCCTTTGCAACTAGATTCGAAAAGCTTTAGAGCCATAAATCCAAAGATCTGAGTACTTGGGTTCGAAAATGTTTCGAAAACCCAGAAGTTACTCCATTAAGAATCCCAAAACACTTACGAACTTGGAGCCTAATTGACATGTTAGAACCATGATGTGACAAGAAAATGGACCTTCTCTTAAATGTGATGACCCATAATTTCTTTTTTTCTTTTTAAAAAGTCAGTGCATAATTTAATTGAGCAAATTTTCAGATTTGTAGTGCTGTGTATATTCTGTGTGAAAACAATTCGGTTTTATATTTTTTTTAAATAGTTCCCAATCTCAGAAAATTATGCAACTTTTATATGTTGTTCACATAGCATGTCAGGTAAACATTTCAGAATTTATTGATGAGTATTTATTTTATAAAAATTCGTGGACTGATTGGTGTTCAGTTTAATTTATAACAAAAATTGAAAATGAGTTTTGTGTGTGTTGGACCATGACTTGAGATTAGTTTGTTGGGTCTACTTTGATGTATAATTGGGTGATGTTTAGCTTATGGGTGTGAATTTAATTGAAGAACATGATTTAGATTTAATTTAATTTGAGTTTATTTATTTACTCATGTTTAACTACTTGGTCCTTTTTAATTATGTGATTGGTATTGCCCATCGTGGGAGTTGTTATTATTTATTATATATGATTATAATATATATTTGAAAGTTGAATTTATGATGTGTACCATATGGTGAAAAATTATATATTTTTATAGTGAATAAAATAAGAGTATATTTTGTAGTGAGCAAAAGAATTATATATTGTAGTGTACAAAAATGTTATATTTTGTAGTGAGAAAAATTATATCATTTTATAATTTATATTACAAAATTCTGAGATATATTTACAAAACTTATATATATATATATATATATATTTTTGGGAAACTAATTTTTGGGAAGGCAACCCACGTGGGGTTCCCCCCCTTCCCTCATTCCTTGTCCCTTCTTTCTTTTCCCTTCTTTTCTTTTCATTTTCTTTTGTTTTGGTTTGGCAGAGGCTGTGCGAAAATTATATCATTTTATAATTTATATTACAAAATTCTGAGATATATTTACAAAAATTATATATATATATTTTTGGGAAACTAATTTTTGGGAAGGCAACCCACGTAGGGCTCCCCCCTTCCCTCATTCCTTGTCCCTTCTTTCTTTTCCCTTCTTTTCTTTTCATTTTCTTTTGTTTTGGTTTGGCAGAGGCTGTGCGAAAATTATATCATTTTATAATTTATATTACAAAATTCTGAGATATATTTACAAAAATTATATATATATATTTTTGGGAAACTAATTTTTGGGAAGGCAACCCACGTAGGGCTCCCCCCTTCCCTCATTCCTTGTCCCTTCTTTCTTTTCCCTTCTTTTCTTTTCATTTTCTTTTGTTTTGGTTTGGCAGAGGCTGTGCGAAAATTATATCATTTTATAATTTATATTACAAAATTCTGAGATATATTTACAAAAATTATATATATATATTTTTGGGAAACTAATTTTTGGGAAGGCAACCCACGTAGGGCTCCCCCCTTCCCTCATTCCTTGTCCCTTCTTTCTTTTCCCTTCTTTTCTTTTCATTTTCTTTTGTTTTGGTTTGGCAGAGGCTGTGCGAAAATTATATCATTTTATAATTTATATTACAAAATTCTGAGATATATTTACAAAAATTATATATATATATTTTTGGGAAACTAATTTTTGGGAAGGCAACCCACGTAGGGCTCCCCCCTTCCCTCATTCCTTGTCCCTTCTTTCTTTTCCCTTCTTTTCTTTTCATTTTCTTTTGTTTTGGTTTGGCAGAGGCTGTGCGAAAATTATATCATTTTATAATTTATATTACAAAATTCTGAGATATATTTAAAAAAATGATATATATATATATTTGGGAAACTAATTTTTGGGAAGGCAACCCACGTGGGGTTCCCCCCCTTCCCTCATTCCTTGTCCGTTCTTTCTTTTCCCTTCTTTTCTTTTCATTTTCTTTTGTTTTGGTTTGGCAGAGGCTGTGCGTCTCTCTCTTTCTCTCTCTCTCTCTCCCTTTCTCTTTTCTCTATGATTGCTCAAGCTTTGAGCTTAGAGTCGGAGTCTTTAAAGTGAGATTTTGCAAAAGTTTTGTAAATGAAAGTCGGAGAACTTGTCGTACTCTTCGCAATGGTGGTCTCGGATTCATGATTGGGTGATGTTTGCTTTTTCAGATTTGCTTTTCTTCATATTTTGAGGTAGGGGCTTTCTTCATATTATTACTTTAAAGTTATGTTAGGATTATTTTGAGAAAATATATCATTATAGGAGGTATTGCGTATATAAATTTCTCATATTTTGTCTGGTTAATTTTTGGAAGAAAAATTATGTTGAAGTGTTCAAGACATTGATATTTTGAAATTGATTTAGAAAAAAAATCATTTTGTGTTGGTAATATTTGTCAAAAAAATCCGAAAACGAAATTTATAGTTGTATGAGTTGTATCTACCTCATATTATGGTTATATAATTTATTTTGAGAAAATAATGTTGAAATATTTATTTCATCTTTGAGTTTTGGAATTTATTTTTGAGAAAAAAATAAATTGATGTTGATGAATATTGGGTAAATTGTTAAGTTGGGATTATAGAGTTGTTTTGGGATTAAAAACTCTAAAAGTGTTACATTCATGATATTTGATGAAAGGTGATATGTTGATGATTAAGTTGCGTTCATTTTTGTGAAAATGAAAACGTGAAATGTGGACTTTTGAATTCACAACCTTGAAAATATTACTCTTGGGCATGTGTCTTAATTTTTGATGTAAATATCATGTGATTAATTAATTTTAGAAAAATTTTTGAAAATTATTATTTGTAGAGAGTTGGGAAAGGTTGGCTATTCGAGTAGCTTGGCATGAGATAGGGTTATGTTTGAGAGAAGAGGTATGTGAAGTTATGTTTGGTATTATTGATTTGGAAAGTTTTGAATATGATACACTTACTAATTTAGTGAATTAAATTAGTTTGGTTAAAATTTTATATCCGTTATGATTAAAAGTATGTTATTGAGAAGATACCATAAATTTTAATATAGTAGGATAGAAATAGAAATATTCAATAAGTATGAGATTTGGTAAAAATCATATTGGTTACCTTGGTTGAGGTGGAACAAAGTTGATTGAAAGTTTTGTGTGAGTTAAAACAATTGGGAAATTGAGTATTAGTTTTACTAGTTGGAGTATGCCAATATGTTATTTTTGTACTTGAAATTCATATATGAGATACTTGATTTGTAAATTGAAGGTTTGGTTGATTACCTATAATCTTGCTACTAAATGTATTTTTTGTAAAATAAATTGCATGTGGGTATTTGAAAGTGAGAAAGCCCCAATTTGTGAAAGATCCTAAATGTTAATGTTTTGGGAGTTGTTGGATTATTGGGAAAAGATTATGTTTGGTTTTAAGATTGTGGAATTCACTGGAAAACACTTATGAAACTTTTGGAATACCGAGTATTGGTTACTCCTTTGAAATGTTGAGTTTGATGGAAAATTATATTAGTCTTGAAAATTTGTCTTTAAAATGTGTAATATGGATTGTTTCCAAGTGTTGGGAATCACGGGGAATTCCAAGTTATGGTTGTATGTTAGATTGTATGTCCATGTTGTTATCTTTTAACTAATGCATTAGAGATAACTATTTCGGCTATCGATGGAAGATAGTATTGATTGTTGTAGAAATTGTTTGAGGATTAGGTGAATTGAAACTAATCTCTTATCGGTTGTCATTGAATATGACTGGGGGTTTTAATACATTGTATATGTATGATGTTTGGGAGAAGAAAATGAATTTACTCCATTGTTTGGGAGGAGAAAATGGATGGACTCTGTAACGCCCTCAAAAAGTACATAAATCAATCATTCACAAGATCTATAGACATAATGGAAATGTTATATTTTCATTCATCAGAGTTAATATTACAAGAGATATTACACGCATTATACTTTCACAAAGGATCATCCTGAAACTATAGCATGTAACTCCGAATGTTAACAACAGAATAAGTGCCCAGCGGGCTTACATCTTTCCAAGACTTTGCTTGGTTACAACAAAAGTAGTGTCCTAGCTCTATACATATAAAACCATCGGCTTGAATAAACATTCAGCACAAAAACGAAATCACAAAAGTGGAGCCTTTAGCCCCTAAGCCTCCCAAGCTATGCCCTTGGAGGCGGCATGTCACATGTACCTGAAAATGGTTTCCCAAGTAGGGTAAGCCAAAGCCTAATAGAGATATGCTAAATAATATATGAGAATTAACTAAAATATGAGCATCAGATAAATATACAACATTCTTAACCAATACATATTCTTTTCAAGGTCATTCAACATAGATAACCAATATCTCAATTCATTTCCATTCTTCCATTCTGGGTAAATCAATTAACCAAATTCATTATCATCAAAGGAACCAATATGAGACTACAACACAATGGTTCACAATTCATTACATTCATCAATCCAACACTTCTATTTCTTGCCATTTTACGGAACCACGTCCGAGGGAACCGACACCCATAAATATATAAGATTTCGAGACTTTC